GGGAGGGAGAGAGACTCCCACCCGGTGTGCTTGGAGCAGAGGCTGAAGAAAATAGACCGGTGGGATAAATGGACACTGACATATGTGTTGTCTCTCGGAATCAACAGACATCTGGAGACATCCTGTTTGCTTCAATTATAGCTCGCAGTCGAATTCGAACCTTTTTGGATTTTAATTAACCTGCCGTGCTAAGCTAGAAGGCTCGAGGTCTTATCGCCTTGAGAGGCCATTGCTTGGACTTTTACTTTCAGCGTGTTGCACAAAAAGAAAACAGGTTCTGCCAAATGACTAGAGGCCGGAGGAGGCCAGGCTTTGCCTTTTCCTGTTTTTGCTGCAAAGTGTACCAGGTTCTCTTTGGAAGAGACATAGGAGAGGTCACTGGGACGCGCCGTTTGGCCCTTGCATTATTCCTTTCTGACCCCCTGATTTGCCTGTAAGTGGGGGAAAGTGTTTGGGAAGGATTTTTCCATGGCAGCCAGTCTAGCATAGGGCTTGAGGGATGAAGCTGTGGATTGGGACGTCCCTGAACTCATTTGTCACTTCAAAGAAGTGGTGCTCACTCCACGGCTCACGGAGAGCCACATTTGCAGTTCTCATCAGCCAAGTGAGTCGCATTTGTTTCCATCCCTGGCACGAATCCTGCACTTCGGGGGAGCTTGTAGCTTACCCATTCCTCTGGCAGCCGTTGTTTCAAAGTGGGAGCCACCTGCCTAGGGCTGCCAAGTCCCCCCGGGGGGCGGATTTCCCCCCGCTTTGGAGGCCCGATTTCCGCCGCCGTGGAATCGGGCCCCGGGGGGAAACCCCACCCCGGCGTGCACATCAGCCGGAGGTGACGTGATGATGCCTGATCTCCAGAACTTGACGCCTGATTACACCTGATCTCCAGAACTTGGCAACCCTACACCTGCCAAACAGAAGCCCCACTGGACAAGGGTTGTGTTCACATGCCTGAAACATAGGACAGGTGCCACATTGGGGAACAGTGGTCAGGAGGGCCACAGGTGGCATGTCAAAGCGCCATGTGTGGCTTGTGAACCACAGAGTGAGTATCACTGGTCTAAGGCAAGCTGCAGTCTCCCAGTCTGCAGTACACAGTCTCCCAGTCTGCAAGCCAGTTTGGTGCAGTGGTTAAGAGTGGTGGACTCTAATCTGGGAGAACCGAGTTTGATTCCCCCACTCCTTCACATGCAGCTGGCTGGGTGACCTTGGGTCAATCACAGCTCTCTCAGCACTGTTCTCTCAAGAGCAGTTCTCTCAGAGGTCTCTCAGCCCCACCTACCTCACAGGGTATCTGTTGTGGGGAGAGGACGGGAAGGTGATTGTAAGCTGCTCTGAGACTCCACTCCTCCTCCTCCTCTTCTTCCTCTTCATTTACCTTTAGAGTTACCAGCTCTGGGTTGGGAAATACCCACCTATGACAGAAGACCATTAGTTCAGCAAACATGATACCACACAGAAATACCTGGAGATTTTGGAGCCCCAGGGTTTGGGGAGGGGGGGGGACTTCAATTGGGTATAATGCGATAGAATCCACCTTCTGAAGATGCCATTTTCTCCAGGGGAACTGTTCTCTGTCACCTGGAAATCAGGTGTAATAGCAGGAGTTCTCCAGCCACCGCCTGGAGATTAGCAACCCCACTTACTTTACAGGGTGATGGTAAAGATTACATTGAGATACTGTATATGAAGTGGTTCGACTTACTTCACAGGGTGATTGTAAAAATTGCATTGAGATACTGTATATGAAGTGGTTCGAACGCTTGAAGGTGCTGTATAAACGCTAAGTGGTGTTCATGCTCCGCACCTCTGCTAGGCATGAACTGTACGAATAGCGACTGAATTTCCGTTGGTTATGTTCACAGGATCATTCCTGCAAAACGTATGTGAATATCCCCCCCCTTTTTTTTTTGACATACCATTTCCCATTTCACGGGATTAATTCACAGCCAGCGTGTAAATGTCTCACTTTACGCCGGAATTAGCTCTTAATTGGCAGGCTATTCTGCCTTTTAACAAAGCAGGGCTTAGGTATTTCGTGTGCTCCCCCAGTTATCTGGAATTAATCCAGGAGGTGCAGAATGGACACAGGTAACCAGTAGATTAGTGGAAGCTTGACAGCTGGTATGGCTGGCACCTGTGAGAAGGGAGGCAGACAATTCATTCGTGTAGGAATTGTTTTATAGCGATGTTATCACTGACTGCCAGGAACAATTTAAAGTTAACATCTGGTAACTGAAAGGAAAACATCCAATAGCTAAACAGGAGTATTTGTAAGAGAAATCGCACTCAGATACTGGGCAAAAGAACTGACTGTGGCCTAATTTCCTTTAAACCCTGCCATTAGTTCAGCAAACATGATGCCACACGGAATGTTCACAAACATTCTAACTGGGTGGCTGCCAACGATAGAATGCTAATAAAACGGCGCAGTGAGAAGGATGTTTGGCCAAGAAAAATAAGCCTGTTCTCTGTTTACCATTCTTATGCCTTTGTCTTCCTTTCCTTGTTCTGACATTGATTCTAGGACATCACCAGCTTGCTTCATACCATCTATGAGGTAGTCGACGCTTCGGTAAACCACTCTCCTAGCTCCAGTAAAACCTTGCGTGTGAAGCTTACTGTGGCCCCCGATGGGAGTCAGAAGAAAAAAAGTATTCTACTGAACCACACTGGTAAGAGTTTCATTCTGAAAGTCACTCACTTCCAATATTTAAATTGAAAGTCCATTGAGAGCGTAAGGCGGCATCAGTGAAAGATAGGAATGGCGACTGATATGAGTTAAGTAGCCCGAATGCAAAGATTGCTTTAAAAACCATTATATATTTGTGCTCTGGAAGGTTTCGTGTCTCCCAGCCTACCTAGGCATAGCTTTCTGCTTGCCCTCAAAGGTTCTGTTCCTCTGAGGTGTTCACAGACTTCTTCTGAGGTGGAGTTTATGATCTTGGGCTGGTCACCCCCTTTCAGCCTCACATACCTCATAGGGTTATGAGAAGGTGAGAACCACGTAAACGTCCATGACATCTTTGGGTAGGGTTGCCATTTGCCCACCTATGACCCGAGACCTCCAGGCAATTGCGGCCCTTGTCTGCTGATGCTCAACTGATCGGCGGCAGAAACTGGGGGCAAATTGAGGGGGGGGGCTTTCATCCTGGGGAGAAAAATGAAAAAATAAAAATTAGGTCTTGGCTACTTATCGGAAGGTCTGACCATAGAGTTCCTAGCGATTCCTAGAGCGACCTGGAAGTGAAAAGGGTAGCTCTAGCAATTGCCAGAAACTCTATGGTAAGCTTACCATAGAGTTTCGGGCAATTGCTTGAGCCACCCTTTTCACTTCCAGGTAGCTCTAGGGATCGCCAGGATTCAGACCTTCCTCTATGGTCAGACCTTCCAGTAAGTAGCTGAGGCCTTATTTTTCTTATTAATTCTTTTCTCGGTGTGCTGACTCCCCCTTCACCAGCTACCGCAGGCACTGCCTGGTAATCCTAGCTTTGGGTGAATGATGGGATAAATGTATGAGTGGTACTAAGAAGTGATTCTTGTCATCCGTGGTCATGTGACTGGGGGGCGGGGCCCCGTTTCTCAGTCAGAAACTATTCTGTCCATGCTCCATGGAGATACTTCCATACCCACAACGTGCAATTCCTCCTTGTGGGCCTTAGAGGGCAACAGGGCTTTTTTTGTAGAAAGAGCCCAGCAGGAACTCATTAGCACAATAGGCCACACCCAGCAGCAGACACTCATTAGCATATTAGGCCACACCCTTGACAGCACAGCACATTAGCATATTAGGCCGCACCCCCATGTTACCAAAAGTGTGGTCGTCCAGCCACACCCACCTTTTGCTTCTTATTCTGTTTACTTTGTTTTCAAAACCCGGAGGGTTTTTTTGTAGCAGGAACTCCATGCATGTTAGGCCACACAACCCTAATGTAGCCAATTCTAATGAGTTTCTGCTGTTGGGTGTGGCCTATTATGCTAATGAGTACCTGCTGGGTGTGGCCAACTCAGGAGCCAGCCGGAACTCCGTTCCTGTGCGTTCCTGCCCAAAAATAGCCCTGGAGGGCAAAGATCCTTTCCCTAGCTTCATGCGCCACAGCCAGAAGCGGGAGCCCCAGAAGCATGTGGAACTCTCGTCCACAGTCTCTGCCTCTAACAGACTGGAATGAATCCGCAAAGGATTACACGGTAACCGTGTCATGTTAACTCAATGCTAGAAGGTCAAGCATATTATGAGCAAATGCTATATGTATCTTTTGCACTTGTTACTAATTTAAAATAAATGAATTTGTGTCTTGCCAGCATGGGGAAGTGCACTTCACAACGATAAAATATACACAGGGGTTTTTTTAAAAAAAGAAAGAAAATCATTTATATTTCCTTTCTGTCCACCAACGATGAGCTAAGTGTCTTGAAATTAAGTACATATCAATCAACCATTTATTATGGTCATAGATCGGCAGAATGAAACGTATGTTAATCACATGTGGAACAAAATTTAGAATCTATGAATACCTTGGAAAATGCTTTCACCCCATTCAACCTTCCCATTCTGGGAACTTCTGTAAGATCTCTCCCTTGGTTTAATGCCACCTAAATGTCGTTGTGAAGAGATCTATTGATCCGGTTGTCTTCACATCTTAGTGGGCCAACAACAGATATGCGCACGGTTTGTCTGTCAGTGTGAGGGAGTGGAAAAAATATCAGGACCAAAAATTAATGTATTTTTTTTGGTGTGTGTGTGAGACTAGATCTCCAAAGTTCAAGGCACCGAACGGAGAGCAAGGCCAACGAAGAAGTGAGGAGTTGTGAGAAGAAGCAGCGAGGGTCCCTCAGGTAAAGAGCATTACTGCCCTGACGGATTTTGCAACTGAGTTCACCCATGGTCACTCAAAGTTTGGTGTAGTGGCTAGGAGCAGCAGTCTTAATCTGGAAAACAATGTTTGATTCCCCACTCCTCCCCATGTAGTCAGCTGGGTGACCTTGGGGCAGTCACAAGTTCTCTCAGAGCTGTTCCCTCACAAGCAGTTCTCGAAAGAGAGAGGTCTTATAAAATTAGGCATGGGGTGGAGAAAGTGGGTGGAAGGAGCATTTTCCTCCCCCTTCCAAAATACGAGAAATCGGGGGGTCCCCAATGAAATGGTCGGGAAACAGGTTCAGGACAAACAAAAGGAAATACTTCTTTATTTAACAAGAAATCACACTGTGGAATTCACTGCCAGACGATGTTGTGGTGGCCACAAGAATAGGCAGCTTTAAAGGGGGACGAGGGAGATTCATGGGGGAGGGGTCTTTCAGTGGCGAGTCGTCACAGTGTCTGAAGTTAGCCTCCAGCTACAGAAGCATTAAAACCCTGAATATCAGTGCCAGGAGGTGGCACCAGCCTCTCGTGGCAGCCATTTTGTTGTGATTTCCAATATCTGTTCTTAAAGGTACAAAAACATCCCTTTGTTCAATGTGGTGTAGTAGTTAAGAGCAAGTGGACTCTAATCTGGAGAACCGGGTTTGATCCCCTACTTCTCTGCATGAAGCCAGTGACCCGGGGCCCATCACCGTTCTCTTACAGTTCTCTCGGCCCCACTTCCCTCAAGGTGCTTGTTGTGAGGACGGAGAGGAAGGGAAGGCGACGGTAAGCTGCTTTGAGGCGCCTTAGCAGGCCTGTAGCTGCAATGGGCATTTCGGGGCTCTGCCCCCTCAAATGTGAGGCACGCCCCACCGCAGCTGATGCCCCTCGCCCCCATCCTCCTCCTGTGGCATTAAAAGGGTCCTCCAGCTGATCAGCAGAAGCACGTCGCCCGCCAATCAGCTGGAGAGCCCTTTAAATCTTGCAGGGAGGGAGGGAGAGAGGCAGCCGCATGCCTTCCCTGAACTCCAAGTGGCGAATTCAGGGAAGGTGTGCAGCCGCCCTCTCCCCTCCCCCACTGCCCCACCAACCCAAAACTTACATAAGAACATAAGAGACGCCAACGATGGATCAGGCCAATGGCCCATCCAGTCCAACACTCTGTGTCACACAGTGGCCAGAAACACCAGTGCCATCAGGAGGTCCACCAGTGGGGCCAGGACATTAGAAGCCCTCCCACTGTTGACCCCCCCCAAGCACCAAGATGACAGAGCATCACTTGCCTCAGAGCCCCTATCTATACCTTGTGGCTAATAGCCACTGATGGACCTCTGCTCCATATGCTTCTCTAATTCCCTCTTGAAGCTGTCCATGCTTGTAGCCGCCACCACTTCCCGTGGCAGTGAATTCCACGTGTTAATCACTCTTTGGGTGAAGAAGGACTTCCTTTTATCCGTTCTAACCCGACCGCTCAGCAACTTCTGGCTACAGGGCTGCTCCTTAGGGTAGGGAAAAGTGGGGTTTTGAAAACCTACTCTCCTTCAACAAGGTGTTAGGAACCCCCATGTTTGGTGACCTTATGTCATTGTTAAACACTGTGTTGGTACATCTACTCCAGGCCGATCTGTTCCAACTAGGTGCAGCATTCTCAAGATACTTTTTTCAGCCATTCCCTCTGAGATCCTCTCAACCGGTGACTCAGAGGAGTGGGTGTAAAGTGAATGCTCTGCCACCGCATCTGGCACTGCATTAAATCCGCTGTCAATCCTGAGTCTTGCTCCCAGGGTGTGGTTTTCATGAGCCGCGGACATGCAGGATTTCATCCAGGAACTGAGCTTATCATTTCAGTGGTTTGGATCTTACAGCCATATGCTCAGTAAAGAAACACATTGGTTTCGGTGTGCCAGTTTGGTGTAGTGGTTAAGTGCGCAGACTCTAATCTGGGAGAACCGGGTTTGATTCCCCACTCCTCCACTTGCACCTGCTGGATGACCTTGGGCAAGCCGTAGTTCTGATAAGAGCTGTTCTCTCAAGGGCAGTTTCTGTCAAGAGTTCCCACCTACCTCACAGGGGAGGGAAAGGGGAGGGAAAGGGGAGGGGAAGGGAAAGGAGTTCGTAAGCCGCTCTGAGACTCCTTTGAGTAGTGAAGGGTGGGGTATAAATCCAATCTCCTCTTCTTCTTAATACTTCACAATTTGCCTTCTGGCTTGTAGGAACCACCATGCCGATGTCAGGTCTGAACAGAACGGATGCTACCGTCATTGCGTCGATGAAAACATCGAGAGGAGAAACCACTATTTGGATCTTGCAGGAATAGAGAACTATACTTCAAAATTTGGACCAGGTAGTACTTTCAGACCAGTCAGTGTGGTGTCGTGGTTAGAGCACTGGGCTCGGATCTTGGAAACCCAAGTTGTAATCCCCGTTCTGCCACTGAAGGCTGCTGAGCAACCTGGGGCCAGATCGAGATGGGTCGCCGTGTTAGTCTGTCTGTAGCAGTAGAAAAGAGCAAGAGTCCAGTAGCACCTTAAAGACTAACAGAGGCCCCGATCACGCGGGCCGGATATCGTGGGGGGGAGGCGTGGCTGTTTGCCCCGGAGCGAACTACCGCGCGGCAGCCGGAACAAACGTCCCGCCGACGTCCCGTGGTTGGGGGGAGGTGCCGATCATACCTCACTCCTGCAGCGCGGCAAAGAAGCGGCGCGGGGGTTGTGTGGTTTTTTTTAACCCAAGAGTTCGCATGCGCCGTTGGGTGTTTGTGCGCACCCGTGGAGACTAGACACACAAGCCCCGGATCTTCGGCGGGAAGCCTCGGGTGAGCCACAGGAGCTCTACGCTTCCCAGATGTGGTGGTGTGATCGCGCCCGGAAAATCCGCTTATCTTCCATCTCTCTAGCGTGCCTAATGCTCCGTGTGACCGGGGCCCGTATTTGTGGCAGCGTGCGAGCTTTTGTGAGTCACTGCTCACTTTTTCAGATCGATCAAGATGGGTAGCCGTGTTAGTCTGTCTGTAGCAGTAGAAAAGAGCAAGAGCCCAGTAGCACCTTAAAGGCCAACAGGATTTGTGGCAGGGTAGGAGCTTTTGTGAGTCACTGCTCACTTCTTCAGATACCTGTGGCCAGTTGATCTCTCTTTGCCCAGTCTACCTCACAGTTTCTAAGCTGCCCTAGGTCTCCGCTGGGAACAAAAGTGTTGTGTGTGTGTGTGTGTGATTACACATTTATTGTATGTAGTTTGGATTGCATTTCCTTTTTTCCCTCTCCTTCGTATTAAAAAGATCCTTTGGGATTCAGGGTGCAAGTCTAGTTAACACCATGATTTTGCATCCAGTTCTGTAAACGACATTAATGAAAGCTGAAAAAAAGAGTTCCTTCCTAGAGGTCTTTCAAGTTCAGAACCAGAATGATGTTTCCATCTGGAGAACTGTTTTACTAATCCTTGTCTGTGCCAAAATTTAAAATTACGGTGAATACTACTGCCGATCGGTAGACTTTGTTTCATTTTTAGATGGATTCCGTTTGGCACGTGAAAGGAATAAATGGACCGATCGGTTTTTAATCTCCACTGTATTCCATTGATTTTGTCATTGCCCCCTCCTGCACAACTAGAAAATGACTGGTGCCTCTTACATTTTTTTGAATATATTTTTTATTATGATTTTCCACATAATTACCAAAACATACACCAATTAACATAACAACATCAACAAACACAAATATAAACATCCATCCCCCACCTCCACCATCCCATCCATATTCCTTTCCATCACACATTATTCACCTGTTTTGGTTTATATAAGCTCTCTTTGTCCTCAGAGTCATCAGATACCATTACACATTATTTTGCCTCATAAACATGGTTACCCTTCATCCAGTAATTTATCACCAAAATCATTTATATCTATATTCAGCCTGGATTTAAGGGAAAATATATGATGATGATAATAATTACTTGGAATATTCACATCTTCAACATTCATCTTAATCTTTACTTTCCATTTCCCCAACTATATATCATAACCAGAGTTACTTACCTACGTTTCCTGAGCACTCTACAAACTTTTTATACACAGTCCAATCTCAAAGTTTTAGGTTAACTTTACATACTTGAGACCTTGAAAACTTGATTCAAACATTTGTTAATTAAATAAATTATCTCTATTTAATTGTAGCCTAATAATAATAGAAAAAAAAGAAACAAGTCTATGTTAAATAAGCAAAACAAGATTTTTTCCACACCTTAGGCAATCTATTTGGCTCTCCGTTAATATAGATTTCATAAACATTCTACTTCATGCAAATATCTCTGATGCTCCCCTTATCTTCCACCCAAACTACACCTGATCAGATTATGCTTCCAGTCTATTATACTTCTAAATATCACAATCCGCTTATAGTAAAATACCTAATCTACAGCATTCATTACAGTAACCTTGTATTCTATTTCCTTTTTAATTTGGTTTTCCCCGTTTTCTTACATTTTTTAGGATCTCCACCCGCTGCTCAGAAACATGACCCACCAATCCGAGTGGCAAATCAAACTAGATCCCGTTCTCACGAACCGGAAATCTTCCACGCGCACCAGCGGAAGACGCCAGCGGTGGACCCCGGCCATGTCAGCCTAATGGAAGCGTCCTACGCCAAGCTGGCAGAAATCCAGCAGAGGCTGCGGAGTCAGGATGCAAACAGGCACTTTGTGAAATCGCCAAAGGCCCAGAGCAAAAACGTGGCTTCCGTTAATGCCGGAAGGGCTGTAAGGAGTAAACCTGTTCCTGGGGCGTCTATCCCGATGACTTCCCCTACGGCGCGGGTGGGCCCAAACCTTCCTTATCTCCCCATGCAGTCGCAGCAGACTTACAAGAAACACAAGCAGAGGGCCAAGGAGGCTCACAAAATGTGCAAAACCTTCCAGGCCCCGGGGACAGTTGTGGAGAAAGAGCACGTCAGGGACCTTCCCGCTGTCATCTTGTACGAAGGCCAAGTCGGACAGATGATCCAGCGGCACGAACACCACCATCACCACGAGCACCATCATCACTACCATCACTTCTACCAGACATGAGCCTGAGCCCCCTCCCTCATCCGGTAGGGATCATCCCGTATGAAGGAAGCCCCGTGCAGCGGTTCCCCCACAAGAGGGCGTCGTTCTTAATTGACGTTGTGGCCGCACCGTTAATATTCCGCTAGTACCTACGTTAGGACTTAAAACACTAATAATAATAATAATAATATTAATAATAACCTAACACTATTTATATTACGTGGAACTGTATCTCTTCCTTTAGTAACTTGTGGGGTTTTTATTTTCGAGTTGGCTTGTATAAAAAGAAAACACACAGTGCACAGCCACAAACAGCCAATTGTTATTCTAAGGAGCTGGGTCTGAATACAGGCCATTCACGCACTTTGGAAAATGATCCCTTCCTCTGTGGTACCGGAAGAGATGCTCCCGGCGAGGTGGTTCAGCATCTGGCCCAGCCATGTGTCGGCTCGCTGCAGGGGAGCCTGTCGTCAGCGGAACGACGTTCCAAGGTTCTGGACTCCGGGAATACAAAACAGCTGCTACCTCTAGTCTAATGCAGAACTTCTAATTGATTGTACTGTGCTACGGGAGGGTGTGGGGTTTGTGTTGTTGTTGTTTTTTTTTAACTCCAGCGTTCACGTAGCCTGTTTATGTTGTACTCCCCACCTCTTTACAAGCTATATCTTAATATTAATGATGAGGAAAATATTAACTTTTATTTGTCAACACAGCTACATTTTTTTCTACATTTTTTTTTTTTAAATCCAGTTTTTTGGTTTAAGTTCCAGTTCTTTGGGTGTTTTTCCTTTTCCCTAACTGATGTATTTATGGCCTGATGGATATATATATGGTAATATTTTAACATATCCTTTTTCTTTACCGGCTGACGCATGTCAGAAAACCATTTAAGCAGCGCACCAAGGTCGGCTTGCCAAGTGCCCCCTTCCAGCAGGCGATTCCTCACCACCGCACTCACATTACCACCACGGCTGATATTCATGGCAGGAGAAAAGATTGGCGGGGTGGCAGTTGACCAAGAAGTGCTGTAACTCTCAGGTTATGCTCTAGGAATCCCCCCCTCCCCAATATTTATGGGTTTTACCATAGAGATTTTACCATAGAGATTCCTAGAACATCTGGAAGTAACATCACTTCAGGGTCAGATGAAACCCTCACCGGGCCCCGCCCCCAGAGGTCTCCCTGGGGGTTGTGGGCAGAGGCCTGGCCTCTGTACACTACTGGGGTAAAAAGTGAAAGGGGTGGGTGTACCAGACCCACTTTATTCCAGTTTATGGCTTCCACTTCCAACAACACGGAGGAAGCAGCTCTTCCTCAGAGCTCAAAATGCTGCTGCTGTTCCCCTGGGTTCCGCCTTCCTCAGGGGTCACCCTGTGATGACATCACCAAATGGCTTGGTTTTTTTCCAGCCAGCTTACTGCCAGCCTCCCCAGGGTCCTACAGTTCGCCACTTCCTCAGAATGTGCTCTAAGACCAGAACTGGCATGATGATGGAGAACGTGCCATTTTGAAAAGTAACATGCATCAGACAGAGATGCAACTTTCTTCCCCACAATTATTACTCAGCCCATAACTAAACGCCACTGTCTTTTATTCTGTTTCGTTGGTTTGGAGGTTTTCTTAAATTTTTATACATTTAATCCCACAATCTGTGGAAACTCCCCCCCCCCCGGTATGTTTGGGGTTTTTTGAGAGAGAGCAAGAAAGTTATGGAAGGCATATGCTTTCTCACTTTAAATTTTGACGCACACAGACACCCACACACTCAGGTACAATTTCTTGTGCTTTCCAGACACCTGTGGCTTTTGAATACTAACATTTTAATCTTAAGAAGGTGACTCCTTGGGAATGTTTCAGATCCCCATGTTGTATGTTCCTGTTTTCTCCTTCGATGCCTCGGAAATTTTGGTGCCCTTCAGTGACTGTCGCATCTGCTTATTCCCTTTTGCTTCTGCTGTTCCCTTTCCGAGTCTCTTGTGGTTTCTCCAACCCCCTCCCATAAGGGCTTCCCTTCCATAAAAGCAACACGAGTGTCCAAAACCTAGAAAAACCATTCATCATTGAAGGTTAAAACAAACCTAGGAAAAGCTTGACCGAAAATGTTGGCGATCTGGGTCATACTGATAGGAATTGGGAGTTGGAGGCACCTGTGCTGAATCCGCCCCCCCCCAGGAGAGCGCGCGCACACACACACACACACACACTGCCCAGCCAAGAGTCAAGGATATAGAGAGAATGGTAGACATGATGTCTGTCTGGACTGGGGATGGAATGAAAGCCTCCACTGCTTCTTCATCGCCAGTCTGCACAACTATTTTCTGACCCAGGTTTTACAGTCTCTATAACTTCATCGCTCTCTTCATACAGTTACAATAAGATCTGTCCGGATTGTAGCACAGGAGTAGCCAAGCAGGACTTGCTCTTTGGGCCCCCGTCATAGAACTTGGTCCTAAGTTCTCTGAATCACGTACACCAGCCGCACAAAAATGAAACCAGGGCAGTGGCCTCTTTAGCTGCTTCTCCGCCTGTGTGGGGAGCAAGAGAAGCTTGGGTGGAACCCTCCCTTATCTGGTGGGCATGGACCCATGCAAATGGAAATGAGGTGTGCTGTATAAGAGGGAAGCTCTACCAGAGTCTGGGCTCTTGTTCCCTTCACCAAGAGAGCCAGTTTGGTGTAGTGTTTAAGTGCACAGGCTCTAATCTGGAAGAACCGGGTTTGATTCCCCCACTCCTCCACTTGCACCTGCTGATGTGACCTTGGGTCAATCAATTGGGTTCCTGAAAGAGCAGTTTGTGTCAGAGCTCTCTCAGCCCCACCCACCTCACAGGGTGTCTGTTGTGGGGAGGGGAAGGGATAGGAGTTTGTAAGCCGCTCTGAGACTCCAAGTAAAGGGCGGGGTATAAACCCAATCTCCTCCTCCTCCTCCTCCTCCTCTTCTTCTTCTTCTTCTTCTTCCTCTTGCAGGAAGCAGTTAAGGATCCCTGCTCCCGTTTCATTGGCTGGGGTATGAGCCAGCCGGTAGGCGGAGCCAATTGCTTCAGGGCTTGGTCTCTGCAGGGATAGCCTTGTTAAAGATCTCTGGCTGTGATTGAGTGGTTAAGGGGGGGGGTATTTATTTGTTGTAAGGTGGTAAAGGATGTTGGAAGAGGGGAAAGTATTTTGGTGGGTCTCTTTATTTTGCAGAAGCTTACCGGGAGGACAATCTTGGCATGGAAGGGTAATGGGGGGAGCACATTCTTCTCTCCTCCTTCTGGCCACAGTTGTGCCTTACCATTTGACAGGCCGCCCAGGAGGAAACCAAAATTCCTTTGTCAGCTTTGGAACATGAAAGGAAATTCTGACTATACACACAGAGTGTTTAAACACACACACACACACACACACACACACACACGGTTTAGCTTCTCGTGTCTTTGAAGTTTCAGTGATTTTTTCTGTTTGTTTACAATATTGTGAATTTTTTTTTTATGCTGGGGGGGGGGGGGGGGACCACGTGTGTGTGCCGCTTGTGTCCAGCTCAGCTATTTGATCAATTCTAGATAGGGTGGTTTCCAAGCACTCTTGTCTTTCAGACATCCAGAGAGAGTGATGTTAGACAGTTGAAATTAAAAGTCCCGGCTTTTTGCTAATCGAGGCCAGAATCGTAAATCAGTGCTCCAATTTATGTGTGTGCTGGGGGGGGGAGGGGGGAGGCGGCAAGCAGAATTTTTTTAAAAAAAACTTTTATTTTAACATCTTCCTGTCGACTTCTTTTTCTGTTACATCTGACACAAAGCTTCAGAGTTGTGTGTGATGACCAGTGTTCCCTCTAAGCTGTGGAGTCTTGTGAGCAAAAATTCTTTGTGAGCTCCTGGCATTAAAGTTGAGAGCGAGCGATGTGGCTACTGCATATATTAGTTTGCTCTGGAGCCCCATCCTTCCTGAGCTAAGACAAAAATATGTGAGCTGGAGGCTAAAAAACTGTGAGGTAGCTCGCACTAACTCAGCTTAGAGGGAACACTGGTGATGACTTGCCCGATCTGTTGATTTTTTTACATTTCTAATTGTTCAACATTATTTATAGGCTGAATTTTCTGTATAGAAAATTTGGGGGCGGGGGAGGGTGTGAGGTTAGCAGTGTCTTTACTTACCACTGAATTGTTCTAGTCTATGGCGATTTTTGCTGCTTTTGTTTATCAGTCCCTTTATTTCCCTCCTATGTATAAATATATATATAGATATATAATTATGGGCTGCAAAAAAGGCATTTATATGTCTAGTAGAAGGAATAAGCTTATTTATATGATAGTGTTAAAACAAAGTCTGATGTATTCAAGTGATTTTTTTTTTGTTCCACTGCATGCAACTCCACAAGTGTATCTCACATTCCGTTGGAGAGAGATGCCGTACCATTGGATCCCCGAGCGAGTGGTATTCTTTTGACCGAGCCTTATCCATGTGCAATTTGGTGACTCGAACGAAGCAAAAGAGTTTCTTTTCTGTATTGGAGATATGGGATTGTGTTGTTTTTTTAAAAGCATTAGATTGGGACAGAGAGTTTTACGGTTGTCCATGGCCCCAGCATGCTCTCTGGTGCTGCCAGTTTTTTAAGTAGATGCTTGGAAGAGCTGAAGAATAGATTCCTTGGGTTAGTCCAGATGTTCTCTGTCTCATTGGGTGGTGCTGAACAAACTTCTGTGCAAGATATTTTTCAGTCATGCAGCATGAGAGGGGATGTCAGGGAATAAATTGTGTGCAGTCGACGATTTTTACAAAAATCGACCTTGGGGTGTTCGAGGATGGTCCCCAGGGGTTGTTTCATAGAAAAAGAGCTAGGGGAACTCATTAGCATAACTCATTAGCATATGCCACACCCCCTGACATCACCAGAAGTGTGTCATAAGGCCACACACCCCGCCCCCAACGGTCCCGGCCACCACCGCCGGCCTTGCAGCTCCACTGCCGAGCCCCATGAGGGGCCCGGCGGTGGACCTGCAAGGCCGGCGGAAGTGCAAGGAAGCCCCACGAAGGCCCTCCCTGGCCCCAGGCAGGCAGGGGTGGGGAGAGGCAGGGAGGAAGCAACTTACCCTCCCTCTTCTCGTGCCTCCTCCTGGCTGAATGAGGGCCGGAAGCGGGGCGGCCGGAAGCGGGGGGGCG